CGTTTAAAAACGTGGTTTTGCGCAGCCGTGCCTCCCTGCAAACGGTTTAATGCAGTGGCTGGTCTTCAAGTGGTTAATCAGTTTCAGCTGCTTTGGTGTTAATGAAATTAACAGGTGCACTAGATGGGCAACAATGAGATGACCCCCAAAACAGGATTGGTTTTACAGGTGGAGGCCACGTACATTTTTTTTTTTTTGCTACTCATCTCGTCTGACTGTTTTTCACTAGTTTTGCATTTGGCTAGGGTCAGTGTCACTACTGGTAGCATGAGGCGATACCTGGACCCTACAGAGGTTGCACAGGCAGTCCAACTCCTCCAGGATGGCACATCAATAAGTGCCATTGCCAGAAGGTTTGCTGTGTTTCCAAGCGCAGTCTCAAGAGCATGGAGGAGATTCCAGGAGACAGGCAGTTACTCTAGGAGAGCTGGACAGGGCCGTAGAAGGTCCTTAACCCATCAGCAGGACGGGTATATGCTCCTTTGTGCAAGAAGGAACAAGATGAGCACTTTCAGGGCCCTACAAAATGACCTCCAGCAGGCCACTGGTGTGAATGTCTCTGACCAATCAGAAACAGACTTCATGAGGGTGGCCTGAGGGCCCAACGTCCTCTAGTAGGCCCTGTGCTCAATGCCTGGCACCTTAGAGCTCGATTCGCATTTGCCATTGAACACCAGGATTGGCAGGTCTGCCACTGGCACCCTGTGCTTTTCACAGATGAGAGCAGGTTCACCATGAGCACATGTGACAGAAGTGAAAGGGTCTGGAGAAGCCGTGGAGAACGTTATGTTGCCTGTAATATTGTTCAGCATGACCGTTTTGGTGGTGAGTGATGATCTGGGGAGGCATATCCATGGGGGGACGCACAGACCTCTACAGGTTAGACAATGGCACCCTGACTCCCAATAGGTATCGGGATGAAATCCTTGGACCCATTGTCAGACCCTACGCTGGTGCAGTGGTTCCTGGGTTCCTCCTGGTGCATGAAAATGCCCGACCTCATGTGACGAGAGTATGCAGGCAGTTCCTGGAGGATGAAGGAATTGATACCATTGAATGGCCCCCACGCTCGCCTGACCTAAATCCAATGGAATTCCTCTGGGATATAATGTTTCAGTCCATTCAACACCGCCAGGTTGCACCTCAGACTGTTCAGGAGCTCAGTGATGCCCCTGGTCCAGATCTTGGAGGAAGTACCCCAGGACACCATCCGTCTTCTCATTAGGAGCATACCCCGATGTTGTCAGGCATGTATACAAACATGTGGGGGCCATACAAACTACTACAGAGTATCATTTTTAGTTCCTGCAATGAAATTTCAGCAAAATGGACTAGCCTGCTGCATCATTTTTTCACTTAGATTTTCAGGGTGTCTTTTAATTCAGTCCTCTGTAAGTTGATCATTTCCATTAAACGATGGGGCATCCTAACGTTCCTAACACATCCTTATCCTTATCAGTATTCCCAGAAGTAGGATATACAGGGTATTTTAAATGGGAATCAAGGGTGGAGGAGGGATATACATTTTTTTATATTAAGGTAGTACTAAAGGCTGAGACTTTTTTTGCATGGATATAATAATTTTTAAATATAATGCACAATACCAGTAAACTTAAAATGTAATTGTAATGCCTTAATTTACCATCAGTCTATCGGGCCTCCCATCTTACCTGGGTTCAGTTGCTTATCTTCCCTGCACAGGGCCCTTACATCACTTCCTTTTTCTTCCCAGGACCACATGTCCCATAAAGCACTTACTGACATGTATGGAGGGTGTACTGAGCCGTATCTGTGTTGTACTGTGTATACTGACATGTAAACAAATAATGAATTCTTTATGCAAGGCCAGCTAGTTGGCTGATCAACTAATCTATAATGAAAATCGTTAACTATTTTTATTATGGATTTATGTTGATTAGTTTCAGCCCTATTCTGTTTCAGTCTGCAAGTGACCTGAGAATATTGCAGAGGTTCTCCTTCAAACAGGATAGTTACAAACCACACAGCTAAAGCTGGTAAACTGATGGTTCCAACCACAACCTAAATGTCTTAGAATGGTACAGCCATAGCCGAGACCTCAATCCAACTGAGAATCAATAGCAAGACAAAAAAAATTTTGCTCACAAACAGTTCCCATCAAGCCTGACAGAGATGGAGCAAATTTGCTAAGAAGGATTGAGCAAACATTGCAGAATATAGATTTGTATACCTGAGAGAGATTAACCCAAATACAGCTGTAGCTGCATCCAGTGTAGCCTGGTATTAAAGTTGAATTCCAGACATTTTCTTTCTGAGTGGTGATGTGTTAGAACCTCTGTCATGTTTTATGGTGCTAGACTCATGACCAGAAGGAGCTATAATTGCATTTCCTAAATAAAGCCTGGGAACAATATTATCTCATGCAAATCACTGCGGCAAAAATCTAAGCCTTGAAGAAGAGGCACCTTCATATATCTTTTTTTTTTTTTTTTTTTTTTTTTTTCTTTCACCCACACAAGGTAAATATCCAGGGAACCTTGAAGAAAAGGTATCCCTTATACACCATAAGGCTGTCTCAAAGCAAATGTACTCTATTAAACCTATCTGCTTAGTTAGGTTGGAGTCCAACACTCCATCTGTCTAACCTTGAATGATTTTATTGCTTTCCAACCCCTTTATAATTTTCCCCTCATTACCTGTCTTGTGATGAAGGGAGTCTTCCAAACCATGGCACAGCAATATAAAGCCTGAAAATAGAATTTTAATTCTCCATGCACTATTCAAAACGTAGGGCTCAATGCACACTAGAAGCTTAAAACGCCAGTTTACACATCGTTTTACAACATAAGTCACCCACGTCCTCATCAATGCCAATGACTCATCAACTATCACTGGGATTCCCCACGAATAGCTGAATGTAAACAAAATAATGCTGGCATAAAAAAAAAAAAAAAAAAAACCTGTGTGGAGGGGCCCCACTAATCCTTACCAGACCCTTATCTAAGCATGCAGCCCGGTATAGAAACAGAGAAAAGTGACGGCAGAAAGAGACCGAGTGATCCATTAAGTCTGCCTGTTTTTTTTTTTTTTTTTTTTTTTTTTTTTTTTGTGTGTTTATTTTTTTGTTCTTTGTTTTTTGGGTTTTTTTTTTGGGGGGGGGGGGGGGGGGTTTTTTTTTTTTTGTTTTTGTTTTGTTTTTTTTTTAACTTTTTTTTGTCTTGAGTATAGATCTATGCTTGTCCCAAGCATGTTTGAAGCTGTTTAATGTTGACTGGCTCAATACCTCTGCTGGAACATTATTCCAATGATCAACTACCCTTTCAGTAAAATATTACTTTCTGAGATTGAGATAAGTTTCGAACTTTCCCCCAGTTAGTTTAAGGTCATGTCCCTGTGTTTTTGCTTTGTGTTGAAAATACTGCCCACCTGAACCTCATTCACCACCCTTAATGTATTTTAAAGGTTTCAATCATGACTCCCCTTTCCCTTCTTTCCACATGTCAGGAAAGGGGTGGGGGAGAATGAGCGAGGGACAAGGCGGGGGACAGCATCTTGTCCCTCCCCTTTACTAGCCTGCCGGGCTGCATGCTCGGTTAAGGGTCTGGTATGGATTTTGAGGGGGGACCGCACAGTTTTTTTTTTTTTTTTTTTTTTTTTTTTTTTTTTGGGCATGGTGTTTCCTCAAAATCTTTACCAGACCTCTGGGAGGGACCCCACACCGTTTTTTTTTTTTTTTTTTTTTTATATTTTTTTTTTAATATTTTTTTTTTAATACCGGCATTCTTTTGTTTACATTCAGCTGTCAGCAGGGAATCCCGTGGACATCTCATGAGTCATCAGTTGTTAAGGACATGACGGCTGCCCATTCCTCAACAACCCACTGCTTACTAGCTCTTGGCAGCAGTTAGGAGCAGAAAAAAAACACTCTGGTTTGCGTTTTTTTTTTTAAAAGCAATTTGCTGGCAGAAAAAACTAAATGCTGAGCTTAAAGGATAAGTTCATCTTTTGAACACAAATAATAAATTTTTTTTTTTTTTTTTTTCAGGTAAAAAAAAAATGTGCATTTATTATTTTTGGTTGCCAGAGCCTGTAAAGCATTGCACCAACGATCAGTAGACCTTTCAGTATAGCTGCTTTCCCGTACGGGATGTACAGGCAAGCAGATATACTGACAAGAAGATTCAATAAACTACCATGACGCTGCATAGCACCATGGTAGTTAATTGAGAACTGACAGCTGTTAACCCTTTGAGGACCGTAAGATTTTGGAACGCCAAAAGAATCAATTTTTTTTGTTTTTAAAGTTCGTACACTTCAGTTGCTGTAACTAAACCATTTCATGAAATAATTGGCAAAAAGCTAGATCCATTTTGTTGTTTGTTGATAAGAACTAATATTTTGACTCAAACCAAAAAAAAAAAAAAGTTTTTAAGTTCTTAATCAGATGATACATGCAATTAAAAAACATGGGACAAATACGTCCCTTGGTCCTCAAAGGGTTAACCTGTCAGGACCTGTGAATGAATTCTGTGAATGAATGACGTGGCCATGTGGGTGGAGCCCCACACAGCCGCGCTGTTTTTAATAAGTGACCCCTAGTACGGGGAACTTCTCCCCGTACTTCTGTTACAGATAGGGAGGGAGAGCAGGGAGCAGCTGGAGCATTGGGAACATGTTAAATGTTCCACCCTAAAAACGGGTGGAACATGTAACATGTTCCCAAAGGTGAACTTATTCTTTAAAAAAAAAAAAAATGCCCCTAGACTACAAAGTGTACGTGGACACATAGGTTAACATTTTTTGCTTCTAGAGGCAGAAAAAAAAAACAAAACTCTTAAGTGCTGCTGCTAGGAGAGTTTTTTTTTAAGGTAATGTGCATGGAGCCTAAAAAAGATACAAAGAAAATTACCACAATGTGATTTAAAACTGCACTAACATAGCTTGTCATTCCTTCAGTAGTAACAAATTAGAGATACATTGTTCAGTATTTTTTCACATTATTTATTTCTTTTTCTTTTTAGGCCACTGGAAAACCCTATGAACAGTATGCTAAAATGATTTTCATGGAATTAAACGATGCCTGGTCAGAATTTGAAAATCAAGGATCAAGAGCTCTTTTTTAAAGTACAGACTTCAGAGTGGAAACTGTTTTCGTTTTAGTCTCTCCTATTATGGTTTTAAACTTTTCTTCTAAATACGGCATAATTGTACATAGGAGTGTAGAATTAGAAGAGCTACAAAGTTCATTATTTTTGTTGACATGCACCTTTCTGTGTAATGTAAGTGCATTCCATGGACATCATGTGTTTAGGGCATTATCCATACTGTCAATGAGACCAAACCAGTGAACTTGCCTGGTGGTGAGTAGTAACATTACTGTTTACAATCAAAACAAGGAACTCTGACAAATTCATTGATGGATTTACTTCATGCATTTGTTTTTCTAAGACTTACCAGATGTAAATGTTTCAGTTCCAGTAAATATGTAATCATTGCTGTTGCATTGTGTACATAATTAAAACACTTTTCTTCCAAGTATTGTTTTGTTTGTTATATATGTTATACAGAAAAAGAAGACAGTCTTTTTTTTTTAACTTTTTGTTTAACCACTTAAGGACCGCCCTATAGTAGATTTACTGCTACGGGGCGGCCCCTGTGCACAGGATCACGTATATATACGTGATGCTACAATTCTGGGTAGGAGGCGCACTACCTAGAAGCCCTACCCGCGCTGCCAATCATGGCCCTGGGTGTCAATCACTGGGTCCCGCCCGGTGATTACTGGCAATCACTGACAGGGAGGAGGGCTGCATTGTTTACCAACAGCCCTCCTCCCTGTCAGTTTGGGCACACTATAAAAAAACATGCAGCGCTCCCATCAATGATATTAAGCAAATATAAATGTAGAAATATGTATACTACTCAAAAAATGATATTGAGCATATATGAATGCAAGATTGTGTATAGCACACACAACTATGAGTCACCGTGCATAGATAAGTTCATAAATTCAATTCCATATAGAAACGTGATGATAGGTGACAATCTATATATAGCGAACGGACGATATTCGTGACATCATGGTGAAGAAATGAGAATAGATTGCACTAACCAGATAGCGCTATGTTAAGCGCATATAGATAAGGTCACCTGGGTGTGAACATCTGGACCCGGGTATTCTGACTAGTAGCAGCATATATCACAGCATGTCAGCAGGGTTTCTGAATGGCAGAGTTCTGATTGGAGACCACCAGAGGGAGCCAGCAACCAGGATCTCTTCAGACCAGGTATCCCAAAGTGTATGATGTATTCACAGACCACCAGAGGGAGATAGAGCTCTGGAGAGTGTCCAGCAATTTCCTTGGGAAAATTGGCTCAAGAAAAAAAGAGCCAGAAAACAAAAATATCTAAGTGCAACATTGCTTTATTAGAATGCAGAGAAATGATAAGAAATGCAACTCACATGATATGCAAAAGGCCTATTGGCCAGACAGGAGAAGTCCACGTGGATGGAAAGTCACTGAGGGCAGCTTTCTGACATGTTTCGTGCCACGCACGGTCTCAAAGAAAGCTGGCCCTCTCAGTGACTGATCATTCTTATATAGGGGAACACATGCCCTTCAATTAACATTAATTGGCGTTCCCGCTGCTCGCGCATGCCGGATCTTATGTTTTACAGACGCTATATAGATGACATTTTACTGCTATGGAAAGGGGATGAATTCTCTCTAAAGAATTTTTTTAAGACCCTTAACTAACTTCAATAATCTTGATATTAAGTTGACATACGAACACAGCTATTTAGAAATCAATTTCCTGGACCTAACGCTTTTTATTGAGGATAACAACATTTTAACTAAAAGCTTTTTTAAAAAAAACAGATCGGAACGGTTTTATCCCAAAAAATAGCTGTCATCACCCTAGATGGTAGAATGGGATACCAAAAGGACAGTTTCTGCGGATACGCAGAAACTAACAAATTGGAGGACTATAATGTTCAAGCTAATATACTCAAATCACGTTTTGTGGAAAAAGGATATGATAGTTGTATCCTAGATAAAGGAATCGAAGAGGTGGGAAATATAGACAGAGAAAATCTCCTCGTTCCCAAAGACAAACGGTATAATGAAAGATTTTGTCCTTTCACCACTCAGTTTTCCGTCCATTATAAGAAGGTCTCTAGAATCATTAAGAAACACTGGTCTATACTTAAGAATGACCCCATACTGGGAGAGGCTTTACCTGAACATCCAGAGATTACGTTCAGGAAAGCCCCCCAGTTGAGAAATGTGTTAGCACCAAACATTGAGAATTCACCTAGAAAACTCTCGTTTAATTTTAATCTGAACCGAAAAGGCTTTAACCCTTGTAATCATTGTATGCTATGTACCCATAATGGTATTCACAAAAAATCGATCAAAAGTTTCCGATCGAATGTCACCGGGAAAACTTATGATGTTCAAATGGTAATAACATGCTATAGCACTCATGTAGTGTATCTACTCGAATGTAGCTGCGGAAAACAATACGTCGGTAGAACCACCAGACGTTTACGAGACAGGCTTAGAGAACACCTAACTAACATCAAAAAAGGATACAAAGATCATTCTGTCTCAATGCATTTTCGCACTGCACACAATAAAAATCCACACAATCTTAAATTTATGGGGATTGACATTGTCAACAGCCACTGGAGAGGTATTTTTAAAAAACGAGCAGTATCCAGGTTAGAAACAAAATATATATATATATATATACCTACTACATACCTCAGCACCATCCGGCCTCAACACAGAATGGGATATCAACTGCTTTATAGATACCAGTTGAGGAAAAGGTATTATACAGGATCTAATACAGAATCACGACACACAGTTTTAATGAACATCTTATTACAGCACGATATATATTGCTGTTTATGATAATACATTTCGAACAGCAACAATGCAGCGTGATGCTGATTTTTATACTATTAATTTGAACGTTAGGGGAGAATACGGGAGGCCAATTACCATACCATATATCTATTACTGATTGCCAATGAAATATGGGCACTGCCAGTATTTATTTATGACAGGTCCTCTTTGCTGCTTGTTATTTTATCTCATTTAATTTTATACCATTTTTACCAAGATTTTTTAGATTGGGGCATTTATATTATTCTTATGGATTTATTCTTTATTTTTACATTTTTTTTTTATTATTGTTTTTAATAATTTTATTTCCATATTATATATGTGATTCATAAATTTTAATCTTTGGATCACAATTTTTAATTCTGTATTATTGTATATCTTTTATAAAGCTCTTTATTATTGTATTGTGTAATATTGATTATATGTGAGGGTGTGCACATGCCTTTGAAGGAGATTCTGGCACCTGTAGTTCCACAGGGCTGTTAAATAAATAGATCCTCATATTGAATTAACAGGAGATTACTTACAACTGGGTCCTCCTTACAAGTTCTTTTTTTTTTCCCCAAATACCGATCTTCAGGATTTATACAGCCTCTTTTGTTCTAAAGTCGGCATATTGCAAGGCTTGACAGCGGTCTGACATACTAATATTGTGGTTAAGGAAAAAGAGAAGCAGAAGTAGAGTGACTATCTACACACTCCTTTAGTTACCTGCTATGTCCTCAATGAGAGGCTATGACATATACTGAGATTCAACAAAATGGCCGCCTCCGGCGCGAACTGCGCATGTGCGTGTGGGCGCTGCGATCTGCGCATGCGCGAGCGGCGGGAACGCCAATTAATGTTAATTGAAGGGCATGTGTTCCCCTATATAAGAATGATCAGTCACTGAGAGGGCCAGCTTTCTTTGAGACTGTGCGTGGCACGAAACATGTCAGAAAGCTGCCCTCAGTGACTTTCCATCCACGTGGACTTCTCCTGTCTGGCCAATAGGCCTTTTGCATATCATGTGAGTTGCATTTCTTATCATTTCTCTGCATTCTAATAAAGCAATGTTGCACTTAGATATTTTTGTTTTCTGGCTCTTTTTTTCTTGAGCCAATTTTCCCAAGGAAATTGCTGGACACTCTCCAGAGCTCTATCTCCCTCTGGTGGTCTGTGAATACATCATACACTTTGGGATACCTGGTCTGAAGAGATCCTGGTTGCTGGCTCCCTCTGGTGGTCTCCAATCAGAACTCTGCCATTCAGAAACCCTGCTGACATGCTGTGATATATATGCTGCTACTAGTCAAATACCCGGGTCCAGATGTTCACACCCAGGTGACCTTATCTATATGCGCTTAACATAGCGCTATCTGGTTAGTGCAATCTATTCTCATTTCTTCACCACTGATGTCACGAATATCATCCGTTCACTATATATAGACTGTCACCTAACGGAAAAGGAATTGCGGTTGTATTGGCCCACAGACCCGATTCATCATATGCCCGTGTTCTCTGCTGCCATGGCCAGGCATAGATATGAGTATATAATGTGGTTTATGCATTTCAACGACAATACACTCTGTTGTCCTCGGGGTGACCCTGAATTTGACACAATTCAGCCCCTCATAAATCATCTTAACCAAAAATTTGCAGATGTCTATACTGCCCAGCACAAAATCTGCATTTTCAGCTTTCAGTGCTATCACACTTTGAATGACAATTGCGTGGTCATGCAACACTGTACCCATATGAATTTTTTAGCATTTTTTTGAGACAGATAAAGCTTTATTTTGGTGGTATTTATTCACCACTGGGATTTTTAATTTTTTTGCTATGTAAATTAAAATGTCCAAACCATTTTGAAAAAAGTTTTTCTTATAAAATTTTGCAAATAGTATATTATCATAAATCTTGGCCAAAATTTTTTCCGTTTATATTTTTAGTAAAAAAAAAATGACCCAAATTAGTTTATAACCAAAAATTATCATTTTTAAATTTTTTTTTACGTTTTATTAATTTTTTTTATATTTTTATTTATTTTTTTTACATACTGTCACCCTAGCATGGTGACACTGTACTACTTGTGGGGGGTGAAGATATTTTTTTTTTTTTTTTTTTTTTTACACTGATTGCTTTTACACCCATAAAGGATGTAAAAGCAATAATTTCTCTTCTCTCTAGCTGCATTCATGCAGCCATTGAGAACTACTGAGTGAGCT